ATTTGTTTTTCGTTTTTTTGGGGGGGGGGGGGGTTGTTTTTTTAAGTAGCTACTAGGATTTTTGTGTTCATTTGAATTTTCAACAACAGCACTGGTTTTCTACCTATGTACATTATGGACCGGTCTTTGTCAGAAGAGCCGTACTCATTTTGGCATGCAATAGATCTTAATGGAAAGCTACAGATAGGCTTATATAGATGAGTAACTTCAGGGGCTGAGACTCTTATGTTGTCATGGTGCAGCTAACAGGGTGAATGAACTGTTTCATGCTTCATCAACAATTAAGTTAATTAGCTCATTTGAAATTGCACTGCTTTGTTGCCAGGATGTTGGCAGAAACATCAAAAAGATGTGTTTACAAATGGTAGACTACAGGGTATATAACAGAAGCACCTTAACAGCAGACCATAAGTACTCAGTATTGCAATAACTTTTATAATAGAATTAGAGCAATACTTTTCGTAACGTATTTGCAATGCTTTCTCCATCTTTCATGCTGTCTTTCAGTTTTAAATGAAGTAACTTACACTGACTTGCAAATCTTAGGTAGGTATCACTCCTGATAAATTTTTGTTTATCAGTGTATTAAGTGGAATGTCAAAATAATGGCTTATTATTGGAGAAAACGGTATAGGATTTAAAAGAACCTGATATACCTAAGTTTGTATTAAAAGGAAAATGAAATCTCCTAAATTCAACGTAGTATTCTAAGTATTACTAATGGTAAATTTAAACTCATTTAACTTAAGCATTCTTCTTTTCAAGAAAAACTACATTTTCTAAATACGTCCATCCGTCTAGGCTATAGTGATGCTAATTCTGGGGGCAGACTTTGCACATCCATTATGTCAGGTCTCTTGTTATAATCCACGATCACTAAAACCATTTTGATTAAGGCGGTGTAGTGCTAGGTTTACAGATGCTCTTGCTTTCCTGAACCAAATAACCCTGGAAAATGTGAAAGCGACGTATAACATCTTGATAATTCTGGTGCAGAGTCAATCAGGGTTTACAGCAGTGTCATGGCTTTTTGTCCTATACACCAGCAAAAAATGTCCACGAACATTTTATTATTTCTTCTTTTCATTCAATTCTGTCTTCTATGCCCTTAAAATAAATACGAAGTCATGGTGCTGAATAGGCAAGGTTGTTTATGAAATAGAAATATTCCTTCATTTTACACTAGCATTAAGATGGAAATCAATACATAACCTTGCATTAGATTCTTTAGTACCTTTTCATGTTCACACTAATGCAAAATCCCCATTACAATTAAAAAACATTTTCTTTCAATTAAATATCAACTTTTAGTCCAAAGATTGACCATTTTTCCAACCCATTAACTTTATAGGGGATGACAGGACTAATGGCTGTAGTTTTCAAGGCTTTGCTCTTAGTCTAATCTTTGTTACGATGTTTTAGGTTCCCTGACTTGAAACAATATGATACCTGAGTTAAGAGAGTTAATGCAAGTATACTGTACCAAAATGAAATATTAATAAGGTACACTACCCCAGTCTAGTAGTGTGTATTTCTGTAATATGCTTATGACAACTTTGAAGAGTGCCTGGTTTATGAAGTGAACTCCAACTTCTTGTGCTCAGAAAATGGTTTACCTAGCAGCTTGATGTAAAAAAAAAAAAAAAAAATACTGTGCAGAGCATCTGAGAAGGAGGATTAAGACAGAAAACACTGCCTTTGCTTCACTTTCCTAATAATGGAAAGGATTTAGGGTGAAGTGACAAATAACTTTCAATAAATGACTTAAAGCCGCAAAAGCCATTTTCACCTTCAGTTCTGTTTATCCAGTATGAATTGTTTTTATTTTTAAGATAATTTGAGGACATTCCAGTTATCTAGAATTCTTTCGAGATATTCTGAATAGCTAAAGAAGTTAAACATTGTGTGCTGTGGTTTAGATTCATATTTGGAAACAGATGCATTGGTTTCAAGAAAGTACAGCCAATCTTCTCCATAATATATTTCTGTATGTATAGAAAAACCTAATCCCGTGTCTTTCCCTTGATATCCTTCAACTCTAGACACAAACCTACAGTTTATATTTTATGGAGCAATTTTCTGTCTTGACAAAATGGTGGTAGATTACAGTTGCTCATGCATGCAAGATCAGTTTTGACTATTCGGTAAAAACAACAGCTTTTGGCTTAAGAAAAACTTCAAAATGTAAACACAGATCAGAAAAAGTCGTGACATAACCGGAAAGATGACAAGATTTAAACAAAATGCCAGGCACTGAAACAATTAGAAGAGTGACAAAAATGCTTATGAAAATTCAGAATTTTGCTGTGAAACAGGTGTTGACAGAAGCTAACCATTTTGCTGGTCTCTGCATGAGGAACCCAGTAGATCACTCAAAGCATTTAATAGTAGTTCTTCATGATGTTTTTTTAAATGTCAGAGCGCAATAACATATGACAAAACTTCAGTGTATTTTGTCTGCAAAATTAATTATCATTCCATTGGTCCTAAGTCAGTCTGAGTAGGAAGGATTTGACTTTTAGAGCTTAAACCGAAAGGTTTACAATAAAACATTCCAGCCAGCAGACAAGTGTTCTTTAACCTGCATGCAGCAGACGCCAGCAAACATAACACAAGCTACAGTACAAAGACGAGTAATGTTTTCATCTATAGAGACAAGGAGAAAAAAAAATCATGCTAGAGAAGATAGGCCAGCTTTCCAACAGATTGTGTTTATTTCTGGGGCAAGAGAGCACATTTAAAAGTCTACAAAGAATAGTGACTGAGCATCATAGTCAGGATGACAAAACCAAAACATAGGCAGAAATAACTTAATGAAATATAATTAGTGCTGTATAAAACTTGCTGTGGTTTTTTTCCTCTTTCAGCTGCACAGTGATACACAGCGTTATGTTCTTTCTTATTTAGCGTGCATTGTCCCTTTTTTGTTGTCTTTGACTAGGTGGTGTGGCTGTAAAATTATGACCTCAAGAATCTTCTTTGAACTTGTCAGAATGTTGTTTCTTTTGGTGACAGTGCCACCATCTCTCAAAACTAAGGCATCTGACATAATCAGCTAAATGAATAGTGACAGCTAACATTTTGTATTTAAACTCCTGTCAGTGTTTAAACATAAAAAGCTTGATGCAAAATAAATCAAACACCACTGATATGCAAGTGAAACATTTTGTTAAAACAATCCCTGACACACTTGGATTTCAAGCTGATCTCACTTCAGCTTTTGAAATGTTGCAAGTAAAAATGAATTTGAAGTTCTCGTGGTTAAAATTGAATTGATAATTTGCAACACGCACTGGAAGTTAACAAGTAAATTTACACCTGGAAGGAAGAAAAAATACACGTTAGACAAATTGAAGGGATCC